TCATTGGAGGTATTAGAGAAATATTTTCTTCTCTAGAGCTCGCTTACATGTGAATGCCTATGGCTGCTTTTGCAATTGCCATGCCTGAAAATGTTTTGGTGAGCTTACAAAAAGAAAAACTTTTGGTATTTCCTTGATAAACATTTAAATTTCCATCTGTGAACATCAGGGGTTGTGTGGTGTCTTTTTTTTTTTTTTTTTTTTTGTGGTGGAGCATTCTAGATGCGTGGGATTCTTAAATGTTTGGGTACCTGGGACCCGAACAGGATGCAGCAATTGCATTAGGAACACATTAATTCACTGGAAAATTTTCTACTAGCCTGCCTGGAGAGACAAGTTTTGCCTCAGGATGGAAATGTTTTCCATGGTCGTAGGGATTCCAGTACCTGGTTGTCTCCCAATGTGATCTGTATCCTGAGGAGTAAAGGGAGAGCACCTTTTTTTTTTTTGTGCACCCCTTTTACATAGAAGACTTCTGTGGTTTGCAGCACAGAGACGGACAGCTATCCGTGTAGGAAGCTTGTTTGCAGCGAAATACCAGCTGCACAGAGCCTTCACCTGATACCTGGCCTCCTGACACCTGGCCACTACGTTGGATGCTGCTTTCCCCTCCTTCCTGCTATGGGCTGGCTCATGCCTTCTCGCTGTGGTGCTGTGGAGAGGTGGAGCAGCTGGCTTGGCCGCTGGCATGTCTGCTCCCTGGGGGTACACAGCTGATTTTGGTGGTGCTGGTTTTCGGTGAGCTGGCGTAGAGGAGCAAAGGAAGGCCATGCCTCCCTTTATCAGCAGCAACACCCTTTCCAAACACCCTCAGCTGCTTGTGAGTCTGCACCCAGATCTGTTGCTGCTCTGTGTCCACAGCTGCCTAAGGGTTTCAGCTGTGGCTATGCCGAGTCTCCAGGGGATGTTGTATGGGAATGGCTTGTCATGCTTGCTCGTTCAGGCGACTACATCACATAATCTCTTAAATAAACCCATCAAATCCCAGACCGGGCTGGAGCCTGCAGCCTGGGGGAGCCAGCAGGTTAATCCAGAGCTCCTCCAGCCCCAGTCTCTTTGAAGTAGCTGCAGCTCAGGAGCAAATGCGCCTTCTCAGGAAGGCTGGTGTTTTAACTAAGCAGCAGAGTTTTATTATCTGAGCTGAGAACTCAGTGATTTCCTTCTCCTGCCAGTAATCCCCACTCAGGGCACTATTACGCTCTTTTACAATTTATTTTCTTTTCTCTAATTGCCAGTTTGCAATGGCCATGCATCCCTGTGCCGCATTCTGGGGAGCTTTTGCACTTTGAAAGCACCTTAGTCCATCCTTCATGCCCACTGCAATCCCTCTTCAGGTGCTTGAGGGGAGTCCTGCTGGAAAAATAATACGTAATAGCTCATGCTTTTCAATTGTTGCCTGATAAGTGTGCTCTAGAGTAAAGGTTCAGCTGCTTCATGCATCCTTTGTGAGCCCTAACAAACTGCCCTTGACAGAGCTAGTCAACAGCTGTGCAGTACCAGTGTACCAGGTATGGTGCTTTGCAGCTGGTGATGCTCTGGCTTGTGTCCTGCATCAATTCCCCAGATTTCACCTGGCACAATATTGTTCTTCTATCTCTTCCCTCCCATCCTGGGGTAGAGAGCTATGATGCTGTGTATTGTTAAGTTGTTCCCAGGTTTTGTCCCTGGGCTGGCTGAAATGGCTTTGGAGTATAATTTGTGTATGCATTTAGCTCCTTTCTTCATGTGGGTGAAATGTGTTTAAGAGCTACCCAGGCAGGACTTTCCAGCATGGTGGCCTGCAGCAGCTCAGGCTGTCATCTCCACAAGCCAGACTTGTGGATCAAGGCTATTTAGATTTTAGCCCATGCAGAAGCTTTTTTTTTTTTTTTCCTTGCTAAGAAAAATCTTTTCCAAAGAAAAAGATTTAAAAGAAGATAAATAACTTTATAACATAGTTGGGTTCTGTTGTGTGTGCACAGCTACAGTGACAGAGCAAAATGTGAAGTAGGTACTGCAAGGCACATTGTGTACTGGACAGCGGGTGCAAGTCTGTCACTACGCTTTGCCAGTCCTACTAAGGTATTTATTCTGCTTCAGGTAGACCTACAGACTAGCTTCCTTAAATTGCAGTTTTTGAAAATATCCTTGAAATAAATTAAAAATTAAAAAAGAAGGGAAAAAAAGAGACGATTCAATTGTCCTCCAGCAATAGGAGTTCCAATAATGCCATGTTATGAACAGGGCAGCTTTTACTGGCAGCAAATACAGCCTGTTGGTTTTGAGAGAGCAGAAGCCCATGCAATGGGCTGTATTGTAATGCTGCATCCCTTTCAACTCCCTTCGAGGCTGGCTCCCATGAGCACAGGGCGCTGCCCCACCAACCTGCAGCCTCTTTGTGCTCGCAGTCTGGCTGTGGGTCACTTCTGGTGGCTGGGGGTTTAATATTCTTGTAGCCAGCCCTTTGTGAGGAATAGTTCAGAATAAGCAACTAGGGGAGCTGGTTATAAAATATTTTGGATCTGGGAGACTTTTTTTTTTTTAACCAAGTTTTATTATTTCTTGCATCTATTAATGGGGCAGCAGGAGGCTCCATATGCTTTTATAGTCCCTGTTGTGCTCTCTAATGGTTATATGCAAAGGCTCCAAGGCGCATAAAATAGACACTCTTAGCCAGTTATTATGATAAAAATTATGTGCATGTCATGACCTTTAAAGCAGTGGGACTGTGTGTGCATGCTCTTCTGATGCGCCACTGTTCTCAGTTCCTTTCTGAAGCATTTCTCACTGTAGGAGGTTTGCATAGGAGTTTGGAATATTTTTCTAATCAGCGAAGGGTCTCTTGGCTCTGATGACAACTTCCAAAGCATAGAGGAGCAAGAAGGAAGAAGGGATGATTTTTTTTTTCTAAGGGAACTAACAGAGAAGAGGTTAAAGGCGAATGGTGAGGCACAGCATGAAAATCCTGGCACTGTCTGCAGTGCTGTCAAAAATGCTGGCCCAAAAAGTGCTTTGTGCTCTTTGTTGAGGCAAAAGCTATTCTGGTGCTCTTGAGGATAAAGGAGAAAAAAAGTTTCATAATCCCTGTGCCCTATTTAAAGAAACTTTAAAAAAAAAAAAAAACAAAAAACTTTCTATAGCAGAAAACCGGAATTTGCTCTCCTGTCAGAGCCCAGACATCTACCCCTCAGCATCGGCTGTGCTGTTACGCCTGGCAAGCGTTGCAATGTTCTGCATCGGCACGTGTGAGGAGCGAGATGCCTGCTGTCGTGGGGAGGGAGGCGTGAGGAGCGGGCTCTGTGTCCTTCACCACTGTGTCCCTCAATCTGTGGTGTCAGAAAGGAGGGATGGCTGCCGTCTGTGAACGCAGATGGCTGCGATGGGCTTGCTCGGGCAGTGCGAGTGTTGAGAGCACTCAGGCTCTTGCTTTGGTGTGCCTGGGCTCTGTGGGTGACACGCGCTGGTGTGTGCCTTAGGGGCATGTCCAGGAGATGGGCACACACCAGATGGGTTGAAAACCTCTATTTGGTAATTTATGCTTTGATTGCTGCTCGCGCTGTAGCTTTCTGCACGCTGGTATGGGGGACAGCAAAAAGCATCGGGTCCCTGTCTACAAGGTGTGTGCACCTGGGGAGAAACAGCCCGGAGAGCTGGAGCTGTGGCAGTTTCCAAAGGTCTTGGTTAACGCCGGAGGCCAGGCAGGGCGAGCAGTGGGGCTCACCACTGCTTGTGATAACGTTGATATCAAACCCCCGTGGAGAGGCGGCAGGCCACGCTCAGCTGCACCTCAGGCTTAACAAATGGAAAAAATAACACTTATGGTTTTAAAAATTAAACATTCCCTTTAATTATTGAACATGAATAATTTCCATGCAAATCGAGCCTGGATGCATGTTTCCAGAGTGACACAGCTGAGAGCGGCTACATCGCACGGTGTCAGTGACCTGTGAGCTGAGAGGCTGTTCGTTATTTTTAGCATTTTATGACCAGTGCCCTGGAGAATGGGATGCAGGCTGGTGGTGATATTTGGCCAAAGAAAAGGAATTTAGTTTGCACTCGTAGCCTCCCCTACAAGTGTTTTAACTTGCAAACTGGGACAGGAGTGGGGAGTGTGTAGATAGGTTGTCTTCACATAGCTGGGTATTTTGGAAGCCTCCTGGTCAGGACTATAATTAAAGGAATAACTGTGGGGTGACTGTGTTGTTGGAGGCTCTCCTGCTTGCTGCATGAAGGTGTGTGCAGAAAGTCCTTGTCTCTTTGAAGGAAGAGAGAGGAAAACGCACACTGTTTTTTCTTGCAAGTCATCAGTATGAAACTTGCTGCTGAGCTTCCTGGGCAGCTTGGTGCAGCATGATGTGTGTGGGAGCGACCTGGCCATGTACCCACAGATGGATGCTGTCACTGCCTGTCAGCATTCCTTTGGGCTATGGAACAGCTCATGTCCAGGGCAGATAAAATGTTGGATCTGCAGCTCAAGTGAATCCTAGTGCATTTAGGAAAACTATGGAGCTGCAGAGGCTTTTCAAGTGACTTTGAGGGTACTTAGTGAGGAGTTGGTTCTGAAGGTTGGCTCCATGATTAAACTCGTATATATTTTTCTTTTCATAATGGAATGTCAGCATTTGCTGTTTCCTGATTTTCAACACTATATAGTTTGTCAAACATTTATCTCTGTCTTGAATTGTCTTGAGATAGAACTTCTGTTAATTTCAAATCAATATGGAAGAGGGAGAGAATGAAATTGCAGTCTAGCCCTTTTCTTGAATCAATATTTTCTTTAAAAGCTGAAATGTTAACTAGATCATAGTTTTTGCCATTTTGAAATGTAGCTTGTCTTTGAAGAATATATGCATTCCCCCGAAAATTGACGTTGATGGTCAGTTTTGCAGCAGACATCTCTGCTGGCAGGCATTTGAGCCAAAGTGGGCAGGATGGGGCCAGCCTTTGCAGCTGGTGTGTTCTAATATCCTCCCTGTTTCTGATCTCATCATCTTAACTTTTTTTTTTGTTCTGTTTTGCAGAAGCCTTTGAAATTGTAGTGCGGCATGCGAGAAACTTCACCAACAGCATGTTTAGGAACCACTACCAGAGCATGGGGACCAGAGCTCTTAAGTTTGTTGGAGAACTTTTTACTGATGTCTCACTGTACATACTGGGCTCTGACATCAGTGTCAATGACATGATAAATGAATTTTTTGACAGTTTATTCCCCTTGGTCTACTCTCATTTGATTAATCCTGGCTTCCCCGATCCCTCCGTAGAAATGACTGAATGCCTGCGGGCAGCCAGGAGAGACCTCAAAGCCTTTGGTAACTACCCTAAGATGATGATGACGCAGGTGTCGAAGTCACTGCAAGCCACGCGAGTCTTTTTGCAGGCACTCAACCTGGGGATCGAGGTTATAAACACTACTGACCACTTGAAATTCAGCAAGGACTGTGGACGAGCGCTGCTGAAGATGTGGTACTGCTCGCATTGCCAGGGGCTCCTCATGGCCAAGCCCTGTGTTGGATACTGTGGCGCAGTGATGCACGGATGCTTGGCGGGCGTCGTAGAGATTGACCACCACTGGCGAGAGTACATCAGCTCTCTGGAGGGGCTGACCAAAGGCATGCACGGCATCTATGACATGGAGCATGTCCTCCTGAACCTCTTCTCCCTGGTGCGGGACGCAGTCGTCTACGTGCAGAAGAACGAAGGAAAACTCTCAACAACTGTGAGTGGTTTTCTGCAGTTCCTCATGCTCTTTTCCACAGCAGTGCTTGGTTGTATACCACATGTGCTATGTGGTGTAACCAAGCCATCCCTCTCCACCAGCCAAAAATCATCACATGCTCTGATTTCCAGCTCCTCTCTACTTCCTCCTCACTTCTCTGATTTTTAAAAACTTTTGGTAGCATTTGAAACTGCTGTTTGTGGGGACTGAGCTTCATCTTAGGGCTTTACCTCTTGTCAGATTGGTCACAACTGAAAGGTGTGGATTTCTTCTGGCATCAGCCTTGTAGCTAGGACAGTAGATCAGGAGCTGAGACATCCCAGCATCTTTCATTCTTCCTGGGTACTCTTCCTGCTTTGGGTAGGTCTTAAAGGATGTCCTGCTCTCCAGGTGTCCACTGTCTCACTCATTCTGATGTGAAGTGTAGTAAACTTCAAATTAAATGTGTTTATAGTAGCAGGGGCCAGACTTGCATTACCCTGTGGTTTCTTTGTCCTGGTGTGCTGGGCATCTTGGGGGATGGTCCTTAGGAGACTATCTGTGGTTCGAAGGTCATGGGGCCGAGCAGCGTAGAAAACTGTTTCTTCATCACTTAACATCACTAAAATATACCTCCAAATAGATGCCAAGTAGAGGCATATACTGTGGCATTCCATGTTTCTTGATTTACTAAAAGAGGTCTGGTTTTCCCTGTATTGGTAACTCATTCCGATTTTGGGCTGCATTTAATCCCAGGGGTAAGGTTATTTCTTATTTATTAGGAGTGACCTGACATTTTAAAAACACATTGTGTGAATTTCTGAGCCTCCTGAGAAACTGAGGCTTTCTTGTTCAGAAAATAGTGACGCTCTGTTTGAATGCCAAGGATAAAAATGGAATGTGGTAACATAACGCTTGTTTCGCAAAAGAGATTTTCTTGGGACACAGTTGATTGCTCCATGCAGGTAGGGTAGAGCCGGGGATGTGGGCAAAGGTGCGGGAATGTTGTTACGCTTTGCTTAAAGCCAACAGTGATTAAAATCTGCCACCGTTTCCCTGTTAGCTGCTTGTTCCTGTCATTCTTGACTCCTGTTTACAAAAGAATTGTGTCTATGTAGGTCACTGTAGTACTTGCACTGTAAGTAACTTATCTTTTTTCGGGCCATGGAAATGGATTGGATTATGGATTTTGACCTATGTGGCATTCAGCCAACAGCACTCTTCTATGCCGTTTTATGTGCTGCTTTTGCTCACTGCGATTGCCTGAGATGTGCCGTATGAGGACTGTGGACTGATGTGGTGGCACCTTAGTGGTTTCACATCCCTGGGGTAGTTTGGCACATATGGTGCAAACTCCTTTTGTTGCTTGGGAGAGATTTAGGAACCAAATCTCCAGGAAGCTACATTGCACGTCTTGTGGTGACCAGGAGGTGGCTGCGACCAGGGCTCTGAGGTACTTTACAGGACACTGTTTTTTAAGCTGCTTGTCAAAGACTGCATGCCTTAGCTCCTCCCTGCAGAAAATCCCTAACAGCAGCCTGCCAAGCATTTCTTGTGCTCCTCAGACTGCTGGGAGGTTCCAGGTCCCAGGGTAGCAGCTCTGCCAGGCACAACTTCTGATATTTTGGAGCCAGGGAAGTAACAGCTGTGCTAGAGGACAGAGAAGCTGCTCTGCTAGTAGCCTGGCCTGGAGTTTCCGCATAGCTGATGCTAAGGAGGACAAAGTGCATAAATTCACAGACAACACTCTGAAATTTGCTTTATTTTGTATTTTAATTTTGTTACGTTTTTCTTCAGTGTTGCATGATCAAGGAATGAAGCTTCAGCTAGTCAGAACCTTTCATCCTTCTCAGGAACAGCAAAGGAGCAGAGATGTAATTGTAGGTTTAGCTTTAGGGCAGGTGGGATAGACAACTCATTTACAAGTGGTGGTGAAGTATATGAGGGAAAACCTAGCTAAACTGTGAGCCCAATTGGCATTTCCAGGGCAGTAAGAAACAAAACTTCCTTCTACACGTAATGTGTGTAGAACATTGTATTTGTTCTCAAAAGATTAAAAGCCATATTCAACAGTGAGTGAAAGCATCCTAAACGTTTTGCACCAGTAAACACTGTGCGCTTGTAGATGGGAAGGCAGAATGGAAATACTGCCCGTATGGGCTGCGTGCCAGGTTGTGCAAGCACATGCAGTATGTGTTGCTGTATGGTCCTGAAATAAGAAGTTTTTTCTCCCATATTATTTCCTTGTTGGCACAACATTAAAAATGTTTATTTATTTATTTATTTCTTGAAGACTTCCACGTATACAGTGAAGGAACATGACTGTCAATTATATTATCAAATAGAGACCTTGATCTGTCTACTGAAAATGTGTTTGTGGGAGGACAAGTAGACAAAGAGCTGCTGAAGTTAACACAAGCCATGGCAGTAGAGCCATTATCTGCCCATCCTTTGCTAAATCAGAACATAAGTTGACTTCCTTGTAAATAATAATAATAATAATAATAATAATAATAATAATAATAATAAACCAACAACACTGAGCACCACATAACAATTCAGTGCTTTTGTACGTGACAGAGTAGTTTGAATTCATTAGTGCCATATATAGTTAGGTACTTCAGCATAACTCCTCTTGATTATTTAATACTTGAGAGATTCTTTTTATTTGCTCTAAAGACATTTTTGAATTATAGGAGTGCAGAGGAAAAAATCCAAGGCAAGCAAGCCAAGTGTGTATCAGTTGTCACTAAACGAGGATGGCCAATGGGTCTTTAAAGTTTATTCTTAAAATACCGCTGTTGCTCAGCTCAAACTCTTATGTCAAACCTGAGCCCGGAGGAACTTTTTTACAAATGAAGCTGTGAGCTGTTCAGTAGAGGAACAGGGCAGTGATGGAAGAGCTGACAGTTATAACTACAGTGTTGCAGATGGCCCAGCTCTGTTGGTCTGTATGTGTCTGGGATCTGGGGTAAACATCTCTGCCCGTAAGTGATAGAATGCAATTTTTTTGGTTGTGCTGGAATGAAAGTTTCTCTGTTAAACTTATCAGCACATATCAAGTTTCAAAGAATATACCTGGAAGCAAACAGTTGTAGTTTCTGTTATCCTGTAAATATGATTGTTTTTAGATACCATCACCATATCAAAGTCTAAAATGCCACAGGAGTTGTCTTTGAAACTGTGGGGCTTTACTCTGTTGCTGGCTTTTTGTATCATCCTGTTTTATTTCTGACCTTGGCCACAAGCATTTCTGTAGGCAAAGTTCAATTCACCTATATGTTATTAAGCATAATCACAGGTTATTTAATTGTCGTTTAAATCTACTGGAATTATGGAAAATTTACCTTCCATGTCCATAGCGATTATAGCCTGAATAACAACACTACTGCCCTTGTCTGTCCTTTAGACTTCTTTGTTTTGTCTTTGGTGGCACTTCTACAATGGTACTGTTTTTTCCTGGTTATTTTGGATCAGTGTGGGTACTACCCAGCAAAGCATCCTTCTTCCATGTGGCTGCTCCTCTGTCCCTCTTTGCCACCCTTAGGCTGTGTTGCAGGTATTTGCAGAAGGATCTGGACTCATTTTGTAGCTTGCAGCAGACCTAACTACAAGAGGGTGTTTGAACCTCAGCTCCAGAGGTGTTGCAGAGCCTCTAGGGAGGTTTCTGTGGAGCTCCGCAGACCCTAAGACACGGAGTCATGCTGCTGTTGCTCTGCATGTGGAAATCACGTGCCTTCAGGCATGTATTTAAACGTAAACCAGCGGTGTTCCTGGTGAACAAATGGCAATGCAGAAGAATGAATTCCATAGCATTATGGCAGGAGGCAGTTCCCTCCCAAAGCCTTGCTTTAATAGTTAATTTGTCAGCAATGGTGGTGTTAGGTTTAATAATTTCTACAACTTTTCTGTTTAAAAGTGTCACCCCCTAAACTATGCTATTAAAATACTTTGTCAAGTAGGCTGAGTCTCCGGGTAGATTGGGAAAAATATTCTGTCTAGCACTATATCTATAAACTATAGATTTTCCTGTCTGATACTTTCTTCCATGTTGAAACAGTGCCTAGTACTTCTATGTCTTCTAGATATTTTAATCATGAATGCAGGGAGCAGCAATTATAGTCGGTCTGTGCTTTCTACCACAAAAAAAGACAGAGATGCACTACAAATAAATGTCATAAAATATTCAATCCCCTCACCTCTTGAAGTTAATGTTTTCTCTCTTGTTGAAAGTCCATGAGAGACAATAGGTCTGGGTGTTTCACATAGCTAATCATTGATCCTCCTCTGGGACTCCCTACCTTAAGCCAGCACCGCAATTTTATTTTGGAAGGTTGTAGAGTTGAGGTGAAGATTGTTGACTTGACACAGATAGTAAGTTGTCTACATAAATATTTTTCTTCCTCCCTGTAACTCATTAGGGTTTTGAATCCATCCCAACAGAGCGGGGAAAAAGGCAATGCATAGCCCAGCGAGACCCAAAGGAGAAAAAGTGGGTGGCTTGAGTTGATGCTCCAGCCACATACTGCATGTGAAGAGCAGGGGGTATGCACTGCAGCTGAGATTCATCAGCGAAAACGATTCAGTTTTGGCTTTATTAGCTACTTTGAGATACATGTCCGGCAGGGCACATGTCACTTCCCAGCCTTTCTCATGGGGCTGGCAGGACTTCTCCTGCCCTTTAACTGTCTTGTGGTGTACCTCTGGACGTGGAATTGCACGGTGCTGATCCCTGACTTGCGCAGCAGATTCTCTGCGTGGCAGGACCTGTACCTGCTAGTGTAATGAAGGTTGGACACAAAAGATTCTCTGCAGCTGATATGTTTGTAGCACAGCCAAACCAAGGAATAAGAGCAGGCTGCAAAGGAATACAAGATCTTTCTGATTGGTCTTACAAGTTTCATAGCAAAAGTAAATTATGAAAAACACCGACAAACCTGCCACTCAAAAACATATCAGTAAGCTTCAGATTTTTATCTTTCGCTATAAACACAAAGCCATGGGCTGACAGAGCTGCTGAG